CCATTGCCTCCGGTCACCTCTCCTTTCTCTCCAGCTTCGTGTCAAACTGTGCCACTGTGAAACACTCTGAGACGCTATACCACGTGAAGGGCACTGTATAAATTAAAGTTGTTGTTGTTGTTGTTGTATTAGCATCAATGTTGTGTGAATGAAAGGAGACCCGATCAAGCTTTTTTTTAAAAAAAAATTTAATTCTAAGATGTTTGGATAAAGTAAACAGTTAAAAACTGATTCCTACTCGTCAGTGAATCGGTAACCGCAGGACCATTGATTTAGGTAATTCACAAGTCTGGATGAATGAGGATCTTTAGCCCATTTAACCTTTCTGTTTGGCTGTTTCCGGCTGCTCTGCCGGAGTTTGCTCACATTCTCAATTGGTTTTGCTAGCTAGGATTGTCTGAGATCTTACTGCTCTTCATCTAGTCGTTTTCCTCACTTTTTTGTCCGTTAGGTTTTCTCCTTCAACATAACTCCAACCCTCCCCATATGATCTGGAAGATCAAAACCCCTGAGCCCCTTCTTATGTATCATAGCACTCCCCCCACCCCACCCACCCCGCACCCCACAATCACTCTCCCTTCACATCTAGTTTAAGCAAAACATAAGCGCTCCCTTTGTGTTTTGTGCCAGCAGTTAAGCTCCACCTTTAGTGAAGAGTAAACTTTCTATGAATTGGGGGTGTGGGGATGAGTGGGGGGGGAAGTGACACCAAATGGTGATGGGACAAGGCATTCACCTCTGGACACGGCAACCTTCAGGTGAGACTCAAACACTGAACCTCCGTTTCCCGGCCAACACACAGTCCCTAAACTTGGCAGCAATTTACCCGTGAAGCACTCTGAGATGTTTTGATGTTAAAGACAATGAGTCAAACGCAAGGGATATTATTACTGCATTATAACTCGGAGGGCCAGCCTGACTGTAGAGCGGTGGTGACGGAACGAGGCAGGTGCTTCTCGCAATGCACTTTTCTGGAACAGGGTCGAAAAGAGTGCAATGAGAAAACCCAGGATAAAGCGACGGGACTTCTCTGCAAGTTCTGCTGTCGAGTTAGTGTCGGCGTCATATTCACCCCGCAGAAACACAACACCGGTGTCTCGAGATCTTGTGAGCACAGGGCAGTCAGCTGTGCAACAGCACTGGGGGATGTGAGCAAACTCCCTCCCGCAGAGCAGACAGAGAGACACGTTACACTCTAGTTTCAGAGCAGAAAGGGTTCGCTTTGCATCGGCTGCAACCGTGCGCCAGCTGGTGTCAAGATGAAGCCGGTGCTGGGGTTCTCAGCTGCTCCTCGTTCCCTGCGTATACTTTGCAGGAACCAGTTTGAACAGAACGGGTTTATTAAGGAGGTGGCACAACGAGAAGCACCAACGTGCGCCAGCTCAAACACGCGTCGGTCATTTCCTTTCGATTGTCTTCTTTCCAGGCGAAGCTCTGCCGCTGGACAACAGCGCAACGCAGCCCGCGCGTGACGCTGGCAATCGTTGAGTCCTGTAGCTCAGTGGTTAGAGCACTCGCTTTGCAAGCGAGAGACCTGAGTTCAATTCCAGGCAGAGGGCGAAACCTTGGGCAAGTTTCCTTACTCCACGCAGAGCCCTAATAATAATCCCTCCAGAAACCAAAAACAATAATTAAATTGGTCATTTTCAATCCACGACTGTCTGTGGGACATCGCTGCGTGCGATCGGCTGCCGCGTCCGCCCACACATATACAGTCGATTCACTTTACAGTGTGTTCCGTGAAGCGCTTCGGGACGTCCTCCCGACGTGAAAAAAGCGCTATATCAAATGCAAGGATTATTATTATTATTATTATTATTGGATTGACTGCGCGTCTTGTGGGCGAAACGGGGCAGACAATTTGCTCGATCACAGCAGCGGCCCCACAAACCAAACAGTGGCGGATCGAGTGACCAAACTGTTTTTACGCACAAACACACGCACACGATCTGCCTTTTGCAGTGGGTTTGTGGGGGACACCACTGGAGCTCTGTGGGAGCAGCGCCACCTCCCATCACAGGTCTAATACCGCAGCGCCTGGGGCTGAGACAACCGAACAAGTTATTTTCTCTCACTGGGGCCGGACTCCCGGAATGAATGGAATTCGTGTTATCTGCAAAACACACTCTGTCGCTTCGGAGACGAAGCAATGTATCATAATGTAAACATTCAACGATGCCCCTCTGATTTTTGTTTTTCGGTTCGGGGGAAAAAAAAAGAAAGGCATACTTTTAATTTCAGCTCTTGGTGGTTTGGGTGTGTTTTTTCTGTCGCTAAGGTTGTGAGACTCTCTCTCTCTCTCTGTGTGTCTATGTGTGTGTGTGTGTGTCTGTGTGTGTGTGTGTGTGTGTGTGTCTGTGTGTGTCTGTGTGTTTCTGTGTCTGTGTGTGTGTGTGTGTGTCTGTGTGTGTCTGTGTGTTTCTGTGTCTGTGTGTGTGTGTCTGTGTGTCTGTGTGTGTCTGTGTGTGTGTGTGTCTGTGTGTGTGTGTGTCTGTGTGTGTCTGTGTGTGTGTCTGTGTGTCTGTGTGTCTGTGTGTGTCTGTGTGTCTGTGTGTGTCTGTGTGTGTGTGTCTGTGTGTGTGTGTGTGTCTGTGTGTGTGTGTGTCTGTGTGCAGATCATTGCAAATATTATTTATTAATCTGTGTCCGAAAAGGCAAACACGAGATTGCATTTGGACCACATTTAAATTATATCCCAATTGAGCAGATATACATCAGCAATATTCCCTCAGAGAGCTTCGGCTGCTTTTAATATTGATTTAGTCATTTCACAATTGAATACTTTTTAAGCGAAAACCGCGACATTAGCATTTATTTCATGGCAGAGATTTTTTTTCAAATGAAAAGATAAAAAGCTTCACAATCGCACAGTGTCAAACAGACGGCTATAAAATGATGAATTTAAATGAAAATCCAACTGGGATTTCCACCCAAATCAAGTTGTGATTTTTAGAAATTGTATTTAATGAACCTGCTCCGGATTATTTTGTGAGGATCGAAATATAGTTTTGAATTTCAGTTCTGTTTATCAGAACAAATATTCACAAAAGATAATTTTAAAGGGCGGAAAAACAAAACAATGTGGGGAATTTATTTGTAACAACGCAACACTTATTTTTGGATATATATATATATAAGAAGAAAAATAAAAAGCTTCACAATCGCACAGTGTCAAACACTGGATATATATATATATATATATCCAAAAATAGTGTATTCCATTTGAAAGTTAAACTGTGAATATTTTTGGTAAAACTTGATTATGTGTGTGTGTCTGTGTGTGTGTGTGTGTGTGTGTGCGCATTGGAGTGTATGTATGTGTGTGTTTGTATGTGTATTTATGTATGTGTGTGTGTGTCTGGATGCGTATATGTATATGCATGTGTATGTACTTGTATGTATGTATGTATGTATGTGTGTATGTATGTAGGTGTGTGTGTGTATGTATGTAGGTATGTGTGTGTATGTGTATGTATGTAGGTGTGTGTGTGTATGTGTATGTATGTAGGTGTGTGTGTGTGTGTGTATGTATGTAGGTGTGTGTGTATGTATGTAGGTATGTGTGTGTATGTGTATGTATGTAGGTGTGTGTGTGTGTGTGTATGTATGTAGGTGTGTGTGTGTGTATGTGTGTGTTTGTGAGTGTATGTGAGTGAGTGAGTGTGTGTGTGTGTTAGTGAGTGAGTGTGTGTGTGTGTGTGAGTGTGTGTTAGTGTGTGTGTGTGTGAGTGAGTGAGTGTGTGTGTGTGAGTGTGTGTGTGAGTGAGTGTGTGTTAGTGGCTGTGACACAGTGGTTGGTGTTTGGGTCCCGGCGCCGGGGATCTGCGCTCCGAGGCCGCCAGTCAGTGACGTGGGGACCCGGGGGGGGGGGGGGAGGGGGGAGAGGGGGGGAGAGGGGGAGGGCTGAGGGGGGAGAGGAGGGGAGAGGGGGAGGGCTGAGGGGGGAGAGGAGGGGAGAGGGGGAGAACCGAACCTCTCTATATAAACAGCAGTCGAGGCGAGAGTGTGGAATGAATGTGACCCGCGGTGTTACAGCAACACTCGCCAGTGACACACCACACGCGCTATTACGCACAGACACAGAGAGACAGAGACACAGACAGACACAGACACAGACAGACAGAGAGACACAGACAGACACAGACAGACACAGACACAGACAGACAGAGAGACACAGACAGACACAGACAGACAGAGAGACACAGACAGACAGAGAGCAAAACCTGGGGAACACCTCCAATTGATCCTCAAAACTTAGCACAAAACCTCGACTGCTGTTCACTCACAGCGACAAACAACAGAGAGACAGAGACACAGAGAGAGACACAGAGACAGACACAGAGAGAGACACAGAGAGAGACAGAGAGAGACAGAGAGAGAGACACAGAGAGAGAGAGAGACAGAGAGAGAGAGACACAGAGAGAGAGACACAGAGACAGAGAGACACAGACAGAGAGACACAGAGACAGAGAGACACAGACAGAGAGACACAGAGAGACACAGAGACACAGAGACACAGAGAGAGACACAGAGACACAGAGAGACACACAGAGACAGACAGAGAGAGACACAGAGACAGACAGAGAGAGACACAGAGAGACACACAGAGAGACACACAGAGAGAGACACAGAGAGAGACATATTTTATTTTTCTCTCTCGAAGATCGCTTTTTATTTAGTGTAAAGGTATATCACTGTATGAAACTCCCAGTGGTTCTGTTCCCCTGAATCCCACCTGAGCTCAGCTCTCGGGCAACAGTGATCGGTGACACAGGGGTTGGGGTTTTGGTTCTGTTCTGTTCTTTTCTCTGTCGTTGTTTTCTTTTCTCTTTTTTTTTTTTGGACGACTTTTGCTGTTTTTTTCCGGCAAATATATATACATATATATATATATATATGTGCGTGACTTTGTTTTGAACAATCCACAACCCATCTCCTCCCCCACCCTTTCCCTCCAAAAAAAAGTGACTTATTTTATATTAAAAAAGTTTTTTTTGGGGGGGAGTCTGAAGTTTTGAGAGAGGAGAGAGAGAGAGATGGAAGCACACTTGTGTCTAACCCTTATTGTGCTCTGTTGGTTGCCTCTGGTAAGTTATTATTCCTTTTTTATATATATATATATATATCCCTCGATGTCTTCTTTTCTTAACCATTTTAAAAAGAATAAATGTAATTCTGTTAATAACAGTCAATTCACTTTACAATATGTGCTGCGGATAACGTTGAGACGTCTCGACGAACGATAAGGTTATTATTATTATTATTATAAGGCGCTGTATCAAATACAAGGATTATTATTTTTTGTTCAGTGATTTGCTCCGAGAATTGCCAATGTTTCTTTCACTCGGGTCATTTCTGATGGGACTTTTTTTTGGGTTTGTTTGTGTTTATATTAAAAAAAAGCATCTTTGCCTCGTGAATTTGGTTGAGAAATTTTTAACTGTTCCACATTCTCAGGCTACTGCGCCTGAATAGCTTTCAGAACGCCTCGCATTAAACCCTCACCCCTTTTCGTCGTTATCATCATTATAATAATAATAATCACAATAATAATCCGTGCATTTGATACAGTGCCTTATCACCCCTTTCAGACGTCTCACAGAATATACAGTAAATGGGTTTTGTTGGTGAATTTTCACGTGTGTATTTTCTAAAATAATCTATTCTACAACAAAGGTTTAAGAAATCTAATTTCCTAACTGAACCCTACAATTTAAAGGAGGGGGTGGTGTGGGGGGGGGGGGGGGGGGGCGGAGGGTATTCTCCCTCCCCTTCATTACTGGGAGTGAGAAAAGTCAGAACTGTTAACCGTTTTTAAAAGGAAAAAAAAACTGAACGCAATCTCTTTTGTGATGTGTCTCAGTCAGCCTTTTTTTTTATGCCGGTCTGTGTTATACAGTATTTCCAGCCACCTCTCTTCTTTTTGTCAAAATAATCCCTCCGCACCCCCCCCCACTCCCATTTAAGCTCCTCTGCCCCATTTACGCTGAAAGCATTCTGAACGTGCTTCTGACAGTGAAACTCAGAAGTATTTGTATTCCCCGCTCTGCTGTCTCATTCGCCAGGAGCTGAGCAGTGCTCTGCGTCCAATTGCAATAAGCGCGTGTGTGTGTGTGTGTGTGTGGACTGAGGTCTCCAACCTGCCCCCAAATCAACACTACTCCCTAGTGTTGCTGAACAGTCAGCTTTAAATTACCTCGGAGACCCCCACCCACCCTAAAACGTTTTCATTCACACCCACCCCTAACCCCGGGCATTTTTAGCTGAGACGTAAAAGGACTAACTTATACTGAAGCCATCAACAGCGAGCGAGAGGGATGTAGAGATAGAGGCACTTCCTCCTCTCTCAAGGTGGCTCCTTGCACCATTCGCTGTGTGCTTTGTACGCAGATTGTCCGACAAGATTCGTTGCGTGCGCCCGGCACAAGGGGTGAAAAGGGTCAGTTGATAGCAGGACCAGCCACCGTTCGAGCCTCAGACGTGCTGAGAAAAGCACTGGCTTTCCATTCCCATCTTAACTCAGCGCTGCACTGTTCAGAGCAGATTTGACACTAACTTTTGTGATTGTTGTGTGAATTTGTTGTTGTTACAAATGTAATGGGTCATTGTCCCAAACCTGAATTTTTTCTCTCTCTGTCTCTCTCTCTCCGTCTGAACTCGGTTTCCACTCGTTCCCCAAAAAGTTCGGTTGTTGGTCCATTCTAATCGCGTTTCGCCCACGAAATGTACAGTCAATTCACTTTCCAGTAGAGTCCGTGAAGCGCTTTGAGACGTCTCGACGAAGTAATAAGGCGCCGTTCAAATGCAAGGATTAATATTATTCTAATCCTTAGACCATTGTTAACTCCAGGTCTGGTTTGCTCCAGCTTTCCCGAGGTAAAAGAAAACTCTGCGCACAGATCGTGTGAACTCTCCCTCCCGTCCTATTTTGCTGGCTTGGTCTTTCTGTGTCTGTCTGACATTGACTGACAGCTCCCCTTTAGAGATGGGCGCACCAAAGCATAGCAACGTCTCACCTGGAATGGGCTGGCGTTTTGAGATGCACTCGGACACATTCCTGGAATACCACAGGCTTTACAGAGTCGCTGAGTGTCTGTCAGGCTTACACATGGGGATTCCAAGTTGCTGAGTGAACAAAGAGCTTTTTAGAAGGCTGAATGTGATTCCCACCATGCTTAATAACCTCAATAATCAGAGTCGGCCAGGCTGCTTGTCAGCTCACAATGCTTTATTTGGAGCTCAGTCCATTTTTTTTAATGCGCTTGTTGCCAGCCAGGTTAACCCCTCGAAAGACTGCGTCTCCTCCAACCGTGGCACATACCACAACTGTTAACCCTTTTTTTGCTTAATCCGTTTGTCTCCCCCACGTGAAAGGCGCTCTACAAACACCAAATGCAATTTGTTGTTCTTGTCTACAAAATACACAGACATTACTCTTTACGGTAAATGCTGTGAAGAGTTTTGGGATGTCCTCCCGAGGTGAAAGGCGCTACAGCACGTGCAAGGATTGTTATTTCCTGCTGACTAAGTAGGTTGAAACCCCGTGAGTTTCTTTTAAAGGGATGTCCCGCTGCTCTCATAAAGAAGGAGCACAAGCTTTACTTTTTGAGCACGTGTCTTCTCTTTTGCGTTGTGAAAACATTACAGCATCGCTTGCCAGAGCCTCAATGAGCGTCACTGGCTGTTGTGTTTCCTTACTGACCACCAGTGAGTGAATAGGCTTTAATAATTAATAATACAGTTAAATTGAATGTTTCACCGTGATAGCCCTCAGATGGCTTTTGTACCACGCAGTACAGTCCTTAAGGGGTTAATTCCCTTAGCCGATCCCTTTCTGGCACTGGGACCCTGGCAAGCAACAGTGCAGAAACCTCCACAGCCATACACTACTGTAATATCTGTTTGAATCAGCATAACCTTATGTTTCCACCTCTCTAAATACGGCCTCATCCTGAAGGAGTGAGATAAACATTGAGTTAAATCCAGTTCTGCCGTAATGTGTCAAAGCTGGAACAGGCACAGTGTGCGGGACAGCGAGTGGTCATAGGCTGCGTACGTTTAAGCTGACTGTTGGGTCCAATTATGAAACCATGGTCACCAGCAGCCTTCCTGGCAATGACAGGAATAGTGCAACATTTGGAAAGGATCTCTCGCTGTGCTGACAGTCTTTATGCACAATCATCTGAGACTCTTTCTCGCATGTTACTGTATGTCTCATGGTGCGGTGGGGGGGACACTGAATAGCGCTCAGTGCATGGAACAATGGTTGATTTTCCCCCTCCCTCACCCAAGGCAAGAAGCCAAGTTGTCAAGTCCATAAATGTTGCCAGGCTGAGACCAGCTGTCAGCTCAGTATTCAGCAATGATAAGCCCTGCATTTGATAGCACGCCTGCTACGTCAAAATGCCTCGAAGCTCATCGAAGGGAATCGCTGTCAAGTGTAGTGACTGTGAATTTGTAGGCAATACACAGCATCTCAGTACTTTGACTCGGAGACCTTGTTGCCTGTGTAGTTCAGTGCAGTGCCACAAGAGAGCAACGCTTTATTGTGTCAGGCCAAACATGTTGTGGTCTATTTTGGAAGGTATTCCTGTTACTGTGAACCGACAGCCGATCTGGGTACTGGCTTTTTGTCCGCATCCATTCAGGATAATAAACCTTACATTTGATACAGCGCTTTATCACCTCGTTGAGAGGTCGCAAAGTGCTTCACAGAATGTACTACAAAGTGAATTGACTATATTTTTATGGACGAAACTTGGCAGCCAATTGCGCACAGCAGTGTCCCACAAACAGTGGTGGATTGAGTGACCGTATTATTACAATAACAGTATAAATATTAAACTAAGATCATTCTTTCATTCATCTCGACTACACGCTGTAACTACATCTGCACGAAACTCAACAGTCTTTTACAATTTCATGGACCTCATTCAGGAGCTAAACTGGTTATGTCATCTTGTAGGTTCATGGAGAATCGGGTTGGATGGTGTGTTATGTGTGTGTGAAACGCTGACTGATTTGTAATCACGTTGTTGATATGGCGCCTGATCACGTCTTTGAGACGTCTCAAAGCGCTTCACAGGATATACTGCAAAGTCAATTGACTGTGTGTTTTGCGTCCCCGATGCAGGTGGCGAGCAGCTGTCCAGCGGAGTGTCACTGCCCTGATGCCCCTCCGAGCTGCACCCCGGGGATCAGCCTGGTCCTCGACCGCTGTAACTGCTGTAAGATCTGCGCACGGCAGTTCAATCAGGACTGCAGCCCCACGGAGCCCTGCGACCACATCAAAGGACTGGAGTGCAACTATGCCACCAGTGACGTTACTGAGCGGGGCATCTGCAGAGGTAATGAATCCACGCGGTGGCCTCCGCACCTTGATCGCTACTGTTTGCGGGTGAGGTGGCACCTTACCCTTAAGCGCTCCGGGACACTGCTTCTGGTGACGGGCACTATATAAGTTGATGTTGTTGTTGCCCTGATATCTCCAGGTAAAATGCATCGTCAGAACTGAACTCAGCAAGGACCAGAGTCCAAGCCTGTGTTCTTTCTGGATGGCTTTATTCGCACTAACTTCTGGGAAGCTACCCTGCGTGATGGGCACTATAATAAATGCATGTTGTCGTTGCTGTTGGTGATGATGAAGGGAGCAGATTGTGTTGAGCCACAGGCTCGGTGCTATCCTGACAGTGTCAAGTTGCTGTTGCGGACGACTCCTCAAGTCTCTAAATGTCAGACGTCCGATTAAACCTGCCGCATATTAATGGGATTTTTCTTTCAATGTTTTTTTTTAGCAAAATCCGAAGGAAGGCCATGTGCGTTCAACGGGAATATCTATCAGAACGGAGAGAACTTCAAACCCAACTGCAAGCACCAGTGCACCTGCATTGATTCAGTGGTGGGCTGTATGCCCCTGTGTCCCCAGGAGCTCTCCCTCCCCACCATGGATTGCCTCAAACCTCAGTTGGTGAAAATATCAGGTCAGTGCTGCGAGGAGTGGATGTGTGACAGCAATCACATTGGCGAAGACTCTGGTGACACCACCGAGGAAGCGGATGACTCGATGAGTTATGAAGAGATTGAAGACCAGCCCGATGCAGAACCCCTCTCCAGCAACGAGCTCATGGACCTGGTCAGAGCGGGGATCAATATCCAACCAGGTAACTGTTTTTCACAGATCCTTTGTTCCTTCCAATCACTCCCCAACACGTGCAATTGTTTGTTATTTGTAGTAAATTGCGTATCACGTCTATCTCCACATAGCTGCATGTCACAAGAACGTGTTCTAAATGAAGCCTCGTTTCTCTTCCAACAGCCTGGAGATTGCAAGCCCAAGAACAGAAATCAGACAGGCCAAGGTGCATAGTCCAGACCACTGAATGGTCCCATTGCTCTAAGAGCTGTGGCATCGGTATCTCTACCAGAGTGACTAATGACAATCCTCAGTGCAAACTGATGAAGGAGACTCGCTTGTGCCAACTCCGTCCCTGCGGCCTTTCAACCAACACCAACCTCAAGGTAAGAGATCAATCCACCCCCCACACCGTGTTGTTATCAGTACCGTGTTGTTATTGCCGAAAGATGTGCAGCCTTGCATCGATTAGTCCTGATGAGACGCTCATTCGGAAATTTAACTTAAGCAAAGTTGAACCAAACTGAACCCATGAAAAATCCTATTTATAACCCCGTAAGGCACCCTCTTGATGGAGGAAATGTGCTGTATTAAGTGTAAGCTGTATTGTCTAAAACATAGCCATCGGGTGACAGACCTCAATCTGCTACAGCCGAGTGTGAATTTCTCTCTCATCCCAGCCACCAGGTCTTTTTCTATCCCTCTGCTCGTTGGAACGCCGTGTAAATTGAGTGAGTTGGTGGGTGGGGAAAAGATGTGTTTCAATGCATTTTCATACATTAGAAGTGGAAACAGTCAAGTGGTTCGCAATTCTGTTCATGGCCTCTTGTGGAACAGGGTATTGCTGTGGTGCAAATTGGCTGCCAATTGTCTACAAAACACAGCCCTACAATTTACAGTATATCGAGTGAAACGCTTTAGAGGCATCCTTGTGACATGAAGGGGTGCTGTATCAAATGTGCTCGCCCACAAAACGCAGTCACTCTAGTGTACAATATATCCTGTGAAGTGCTTTATTTAATTCTTTCTCTCTCTCTCTCTCTCTCTATCTCTCTCTCTCTCTGTCTGTCTGCAGAAAGGCAAGAAGTGCTTCAGGATGAAGAGAGCCAAGGAGCCTGTGCACTTCACGTACGCGGGATGTACTAGCGTGAGGAGCTACGAGCCGCGATGGTGTGGCTCCTGTACCGACGGCCGGTGCTGCACCCCCTCCCAGACCCGCACCATTCACGTCCGGTTCCGTTGCGACGACGGTGAGACGTTCTCCAAGAGCGTGATGTGGATCAACAAGTGCCGCTGCCACTACAACTGCCCCCATCAGAATGAGATCTCCTACCCTTACTACACGTTGCACAATGACATTCACAAGTTCTCCGAGTAGAACGTGGTGAAGACTGGTCTCCAAACCCTTCCCGAAACAAAACCGTACGCAGTGCAAAACTGTGGCAGCTAATTGCCATGTCTACTTGTTCACTTTACTGCCTATTAAACTGATATCTCAAGTCTACACTGGCAGTCATACCAGTCCAAGTTACTGACCCGCTTATCAGATGCTAAAGTCTAGACTAATAGCCATTTGCAGAATCTGCCTTCTTTGACTCTAAACTTCCAGGACTGGTCATGTCTATCTGTGATGCCCGTTGACTTTAGATCCCAGTGGTCCATCTGCAGTACAATAATCTGGGTCTCTGACCTCCTTCCTTGGTGGGCTATTCACTGCATTAAGCAAACCTATTGTTTTAAGATTCTCAGTAATTATACGCAAAGGCTGCATTGACTGGAAAAGATCTGGGAAGCAAACCCTTACTTACTTTCCCACAGTTTTTAAAAAGGAAAGGAGCTGACTGGCTGTTGCTTTTTTTTATATATTATATATATATATATATGAAAATGAAGTAAATTGCAATAAAAAAGGCCTAATCTGAATTTAAACAGGGTTGATACGGTCATATGTAAAGTTGGAATGGATTTTTAAAAATATATTATTTAAGGTTTTTGGACATATTCTATTTTCAATGTTGGAAAACTAAAATCAGGATGTTATTCTCATAGATGTCTGACTGTAAAAGACAAAAAGAGGAGTTACTATTTGAATCGGGACTGTTTTCTGCGTTTGTGTTATATTATATGGTACTGTTTCAAAACCACTCCAGATAGGATATCCACCTCCAAGGGATCTTATTTAAAACATTGACTTTACACTGAGATACAAACTTTTTTTTATTTTGTTTTGTTTTTTGAAACCATGTCCAATACCCACCAAAACAAATTCTGGGAGACTTTGCCAGAGCACTTCTGAATGAGCTGAATGGGACTGGGTCAGGTAGAGAATCAGCGTGTTTCCGTAAATGAGAGAGAGAGAAAAAAAANCTGGTCACTCAATCCACGACTGTTTGTGGGACACTGTTGCGTATAATTGGCTGCCGCATTTCGTCCACAAAATATACAGTCAATTCAGTTTACAGTGTATTCTAAAGCGCTTTGAGACATTTCAACAAAGCTACAAGGAGCGACATCAAATGCAAAACACGTATTCATTAAAAAAAATAGCCTTAGGGAATACAACAGAGATCTCACATCCATTTTCCCCATTGTCTATAATTACGTAACAAATTACTCAGCATAGTTCACATGAAGAGCAACACGGGGACTTCAGGGAAGATCAATTCATTGATTCCTTAATCCAGGGATAATGGAATTCTCTTCCAAAGCAGCTCAGGGAGGCCTGGTGACTTATTGGACCAGGCTGCCACTGATATAACAAAGCTCACTAATAAATTATAATGGAAACTTGCCTTCTCTATCTGTTCCAACAGTAAAAGCTTCATTTGGGAATGTGCACTGTGCAACAATGCGATGTGAATATTTCCTTATCAGGCAGTTATTGCCTGTGCACTGAGGTGGACCTTCCTATGGTAACTATTTAATTTGTATTTGGTTATTTTCTTAAAACAAACTTCACCTTCGTGGAGTGATCGGAACTGAACATGCTTCATTTTCGAAGTGCGATGAGACAACTGTAGAGGGTCATGTGTAGTAAATATTCTGTGTGTATATTTAAAGACTTTTGTGTTTAATATATTTTCTCTGTGTCTGCCAGTATTACTGTATGTGGAGATATTGCTGTTCTTTCATCCAACATTATCGTCACCTTGTGGCCTGTTTGTGCTCTGTAATGGAATATGACAATCTGCACTCAGTCTGTGCAGTTCTATAATGTTTGTAAGAGGAGCACTGGTTCCAAACTGTTAAGTAAAGCATTACTTTGGTATCTTGACTTTGTCCTGCTGGTGTCAACCAGATGCAGGTCAAAATGGCCAGAACTGGGCTAGGAAGAGGGCCAAGATATAGTCTTAGATGACAATGATTAAAATGGTAATGGGGGAGAGACAACCTGAAGGTTAAGGCATCCGAATGTGGGAAGTTTGGAGAGGAAACACAATATTTACATTGGTGGAGGGACGGGGTGCAAATGTTGAGATTAAGAACTACAGTTGGACTCACTCGTGACAGGAGAGACCGCAGGCAACGATTTTTAGAAGGGTTCTGCGTAGTATATAAAACAGGGTCAATGAAGAAGGTAAATTAGAAACTGTAGAAGTGTGGACTGGAAGCAGGTTCTGTTTCTATTTAGGGTGTAGCTTTCTACGCAGTCAACTACTGCACTCTGTAATGCAATCTGAATAACAGGGGACCGGAGACAATGATGAAGCCCTTCCACACTCCAGTTCTGTTGCCTTTGACCAAACAGTGCTGAATGTATCCTCGTTCTTGACTCCCCCCCCCCCCCCCCCACACCCCGTTCTATTTCTTCTGCAGTGTTTCAATGATACCCTTGTTAATATACTATGGTTCTATATAGTTTGCAGATTGAATAGTTTTGTGTTGTATAGACTGTACTGAAGTTTTTTTGCACATATTGTAATTAGAATGATGTCTTTATAGAAGCATAAATACTTAATTTCTAATAAATATTTTAAACATTTTATAATACAAGATTAATTTTGTGCTTTTTTTCCCCTCCCCCACCACTCCGTCGTCTTGATCTGCCTGTTAGCAATTTGTTGTAAAATTGTTTCATGCAAATTGTTTCCTAGAGAGCGTGTGAATCCGGTGGGCAGAAGGGTGGTGAGGCTGGCACGAGAGCGGCAGATACACAGTGAGAACAGGGTGACAGAAGAGAGATGAAAAGTGCAAAAAGGGTGATACAGGGAAGACACAGCTGAAACCCTGCTAAGCCATTTCACACGGCAGCCAATTTACACACAACAATGTCCCACAAACAGCCATGAAACAAGTAACCAATTTTATTTGGGGGATTGGTGGCCAATTCAGCGGGCGACACCCCCTTCTCTTTTCGAATAGCGCCATGGGATATTTAACACGCACCTGAACAGGCAGATGTGACCTCAGTTTAACGTCTCATCTCAAGGACGGCACCTCCGACAATGCAACACCCCCCTCAGCATTGCATTGGAGCGTCATCTTAGACTATGTGATTCAAAGTCCCGATGTAGGGCTTGAACACACAAATCTTATGACTCCGAGGTGAGAGCATACCACTGCGCCAGACTGACTCACAGTGTTCATTATCATATGTTAGTGTGTATAGTGTACATATGTGTGTGTGTGTGTATACAGTGTGTATGAACGTGTGTGTGAGAGAGAAGGAGAAGGGGGTTCAAACTCATTGCAATTGATTCAGGTTGATTATGTATGGAACGAATGCAAGGAATGGTTCAAACATTCTATCTCCGAACGGATCAACTTCAGGGTCCTCATCCTTACACTATAAATCAAGTGAGAGCCAAGCTTTGGAACAGAGCAGTTATTCTGTGACAGGTTTTGATGCAATGTTCCTCTTTAAACATTCCAGACTTTTTTTCCCCACTGCTGACAGGCCTTGAAGATGGTGATTTCTTGATCTCATCTCTGCATCTCTATGTATTTTTTCACACAAAAGAGTTGCCATGATATAGGAATGCTCTGCTGGGAATGACGGTTGAACGCCTATTAACTTTCAAAAAGGAACTAGATAGATATATAAAAAGGAGCAATAATAATATAAAAATAAGCCTTGCATTTGATATAGCGCCTTATGACACTGTCGAGACATCTAAAGTGCTTTAGTGCAGGACTTACTGTACAGTGATTTGATTGTGTATATTGTGAGTGAAATGCAATATACAGGAATATAGGAGGAAAAGACAAGTCAATTGGCGCTGAAAGGATTGCTCTCGGAATGAGCCAGCACAGACACGATGGGCTGCTGAATGACTTCCTCCTCTGTGGTGAAGAAAATTTCTAAACAAAAAGAAAAATGGCTCTAAATTTGTACCAGGTGTTAAAGAGAGCGCAAAAAAAATGGAGCACAACAAACCCAGAGTGCTCTCAGAATATACCTTAAACAGGCAGTTCATGAATGGTCCAGACAAGAGTGTGGAATCAGGCTCTGGGAATCCGAGAAGAATGCACAACAGGGTGTGTGTTGGGTGTGTGAGTGGGGAAGAGGAATATCTCAGCTAAATAAGTTAATTAATTCCTATTTAAGGTCACGTTCTTCTGCTGCTAACTGAAGCGGGTTCCTGTGCAGACAGGATTTTTTTCTTGAACGTGCTGCAATTAGGTCCTTTGTCACAGCTGAAAATAAAACTTTCCATTTTTAACTTGTTGGGGAATGACTCCGATTGCTCTCTGCTATGTGTGCGGTGTTCCTCCCGTGCCAAAAAGGGGTCCCACCCATACACCCAGTAACCTCCTGCCTTGGCAGCGTGTGACGAGGCAACAGCGGAGCCACAAAAAAAACCAGTACGTATCTTTCCCAGGCTTGAATTACATTCAAGAGTTACAAATAAACTCTGAGGGAGCATGTTTACTTCCAGTGACTTAGTGACGGCAAAGGACACGGTATCACATAACTGGCTACCGTCGAGAATTAAATTATCCCGCTGCTCGCGGCAGTGGAAAATCTGTTGCATTATTCTTAGTAGCGCCCCCCTTCACACGTATATCAGGCACAAACATGGAGTCATTCATGCTTGCTAAACGCAAGCGACATAAATACGAAGGCTGCATATTACTGTAATAAAAACACATTGACGTCAAGAGGAATGTTGCACAGGTAATGGGATAACCCTGGCCCGTATCTTTCTATCATTAAAGTCTTCTTCTGGTGTACTTGAGATGACAATAACTGTGGAGAGCTTTACAATGTAAGTACATGCAGGATACCCAGACCTGGTACAGTGAGAGATAAGATCATTGTTGAATTGGGGGCTTTTAGTGATATCAAGAGAAAAACCATCAGTTTCAACGCCGAATCTTGCCCCATACGGCAACTCTTGATCATGGCAGATGATGGTGTCCATTGTAGATCTTCAGGAAGTCAAGTGCTTGAAGGACTAGAAAGGAAATCCTAGTGATCCTTCCCTCACCTTCAGTCTCCAAACCTTAGCCTTTCTGGTCTTGATATTGTCCTTCTGAAATTGTTTCGCTCACAAAATATGCAGTCAATTCACTTTACGGTTTATTCTATGAAGCGCTTTGAGATGTCTCGAAGATGTCACAGGGCGCTATATCAAAAGCAAAGATTATTATTATCATTAATCTTATTATTTCCTCTTTCGCCATATTTTCCACCCTTGTCCTACTTCTAGGGCCTCACTATGCTGAAATCAAAGCTCTCTGGACTGTCTATTACTCTAACCCACTTTTTCTAAGAACCGCAAGAAAGTGGAGATCATTACTCTCTCTTGACTATTAAGTATGAGCTCTTAAATCTCATGGCATCACTTAACCACTTCTTGATTTATCCCACAATTTCCTCTATTCCTTTCCAA